CTGTGACCTTGGAGGGGTTGCTCCCTGTGACCTTGGAGGAAGGGTGCTCACTAACACCTACTTGCATGGAAAGCTGTCCTTGAAAAGTGACATTTAAAAGCTTGTGATTGGGGTGGGGGGAACACGCTGATTTGTCCCGGTGGCTACCGAAGAAGGCACCAGGAGGGCAGGGCCTCGCTTGCTCCGGTCTCTGGAAGTCTGAGGAGCCAGCTGCTGTCCTCTGACCATCCTGAGACTCAGAAGCACCAGGCAGCTTCTTGTTCTGCTCTTCATGCCAGTGTAGATTTAAGGCGTCTCCATGGTGAATGGAGGCAGGGCACTGGTAGGTACGTTTTCTGGTCAAGGAGTCTCTTGTGAGAGACTGTCTCTCCCTTGTTTTGGTGGGAGGGCCCTGGGGATTGAACCCAGGGGCACTTGACCCCTGAGCCACACCCCCAGCCCTTTTTGTATTTTATTTAGAGACAGGGTCTCACTGAGTTGCTTAGGGCCTCCCTAAGTTACTGAGGCTGGCTTTGAACTTGAGGTCCTCCTGCCTCAGCCTCCTGAACTGCTGAGATCACAAGCGTGTGCCATTGCCTCATTTTTAAAGATAGAAATTATATACTGTGTTTAGAATATAGAAATTAGAAATATAGGGATTAAATACAGAAGTTACATTCAATTAATTATCCATTAAATAAATTAGCACTTAATACCTAAGGAATAATATTAGTAGTGGAGAAGTAGCTGGTTACCAGAAGTCTGAAAAAGTCACTGTTGGGAGTCCTTATTCCATAAAGTCACCTAATGGTAAGTGTTTTTATTTAATGTTGGAGGGACAGAATGTAAATAGAGTTGGCCCTCCCTGGCTGACTCTGCATCGTGGATTCAGCCAACTGCAGAGTCGTGGGGAAAGTTGTGTGCACACAGAACCTTCCTCCCTGGTCCCTGGGCAGTGCAGCCAGCGGACACGCCTGGCGTCCTCTGTGGGCACTCACGGCCTCCGGGTGGCTCGGCACAGGGGAGGCAGTCAGTACCGGGCCGCTTTACGGGGCGGCCTGGAGCCCATTCCAGGGGCCGAGACAGCCATGGCCCACTGGGCAGATGGCAGACCACCTTCCGTTCTGCAGACAAGTGGGAAGTAGAGTCCCCCCGAAACAAACTCGAAACCTACAAACAAGCTGTGGCGGGCAGAAACCAGGTGCCAGGAACCAGGAGGGGAGTCCCAGGCGAGGAGAGCAAGGGGCCAGACACAGGTGGGCCTCGGGGCGCGGGCCGGGTGGCCAGGGAACTGCCCACACAGGCTGGGCTTGCCCAGGTGGGAGGGGGAGAGCCAGAGCTGTGAGCTGCCACACACTGCACCGCCCCTGGAGCAGCGGGACCCAGGCCACACACAGCCAGAGTCCCGTCCACCAGCGCAAGGACACTGGTCCCTTGCGGAACCTGAGGCCCCATGGAAAACCTCCCGCCGAGGAGCCTACAGTCAAATCGGTGCCTTCAGAGAGAGCGAGCAGGACGGGCAGCGGTGTCACAGGGAGAGGAAGGGACAGGCAGGTGTGACGGAGGAATCAACGGAGGTTCTAGCAGTGGGAGACCAGCTGCGAGCTGAGCTGAGAGAGCACAGTGGCACTCTGCAGGTGGCCTTGGGACTATCCCTGGAGCCCACAGTCACTGACACTTGCCTCTGAACACTCCTGAGCAGAGGACCACAGGTTAGGCCTCAGGTCCCCGGGAGGTGGTTTTCCTCAGGGAGGGCCCGGGGACCCGGCACTGCCTGCTCAGTGACATGGGACATGCTGGGACCCCGTGGGCTCAGCCTGCACTTCAGCTCTGCTTTCCCGGCACGACCCTCTGTCTCTGAGCCACATAGAAAATGTCTCACACCCTCTTGTCCCATGTCCCTCATCCCATCGACCCTACAGTCACCCAGCGCTCAGCCTCTGACAAGGTCCAGGATGCCACTGGTGGCCAACTGTGACCTCGGTCTCAGGGACTGCAGCTCTGACAGTCATCCCACAGTCTTGATTTCAGGGAAACGTTGTCAGCTGCGCCTGTCTTTTCCTCTAAGACGTGGAGGTGTTGGGGAGGGCCTGGTCATCCCCAACAGCTGGCCTTTCCTCCCTGCAGACTCCCAGCCTGTGCCCCTGGCCACACGGGCCTAGCACTCACTCCCGCGGGCTAAGAGCGCTGGTCATGACGCTGGCCAGTCTGTGCTGCAGTGCTGTGGGGTCATGTCCCGCCACGCTGGGTCCTGAGCCCCTTCAGGGCAGCTGCTGATACACAAAAGGAAAGAACCCTTGAAAGGACCCGGTCATCCAAGGCCCAGGAACCTCACCCCCACGCATGTGGCCTTGCCCCTCTGCTGTGTGTGAGAACCCAGCGGCCCTGACAGTCCTGGTCATCC